CAGTCGGTTACTTTCTGAGCTCCTTGGCATCTGAGCATGGATATAAAGTCATCAAGTAGATTTCAATGGTAATGATTTTCACATCTACTAATTATTAAGGAACAAATGTTTATGCTTTGAAGAATTATTTTTTTAATTTTTTTATTTTAATAACATGATCAGAAGAAGCATTTCATTACAGCTTTAACATATTCAGTAACATACTCCAGAGCAAGGATACATCTCTTTCAACAGTGGCTGTAAATTTTTAGTTTCACAGTTAAATTAATACAGTTATATAATATTGAACTCAGTATAAACCCTGTAACATATAAAATTGAATGAGTTTTTACCCTTTAAAAAGACCTCCATTTCATTTTAAAACATGCTGTTTCCTGCATTTTTAATGCTACTAACACTTAGATGTTTGCACATGTGTCTTTAATCTCTGTCTATTTGATGATTAATAGTCACAGTCGGTTACACTAGGATCCTTAGTACCTGAGCATGGATATAAAGTCATCAGGTAGATTTCACTAGCAATGTTTACCACCTCTACTATTTAACATGAAGTAAATTCCTATGCTTCCTCCTCAAATATAAGTTCTTTTTAAAAATTTGTTGATTTTTCTGTGTGTATATCATACAGAACATCCCATACAATCTTATTCATCGATATACCCACTTCCCAAATGGTACCTTCCCATAGACTCCCCCCTCCCACATACTGGAGCCCATATACTCTATCATCCCTGTTATCGTCCACTGTGTTGTCGACATCCCCAGCCATTCTCTAGTGCTTGTCCCTCTGCTGAATCTAGTCAGCCTATCTAGAGAGCCTTGTTTTAGAAACATCAGTTGTTCTTTATCTAGCAGCAATCAGTTGTCAATATTCCTTCAGATAAGATTGGGGTCTGCTGTTCCTTTTCCCAGTTCTATGCTGGGCTACTGTCTGGGAGTCTCTTGCACCACCTTGACCAATAATTCAAAGGAAGATATCTCCTGTCTGACATTGTTTCTTGTTATGTAGCCTTTAGCTATACACATGGACTTTTTAAAAATTATATTAACCCCTTTAATATTTGGTTGTACTTTACTTTTAAATGACTTAGACCATAAAGTTTGCCCAGATAAACCAATTCATCTTTACTCTTAAGGCCGTTTGAGCATCTGTCCCTCAGGGGTCACATGGGCTTGGGAGGAGCCCCTGGCTCCTTTCTTTTACCAGTTCCATCTATGGGAAGATAAGTCAAAGGTCCTACTCGATCATGGCTGGCTTCACTTGGAAGCATAGAGGAAATGTTTCCTCTGTGTTGACCCTCCTCTTTGAAGACTGGACACTGGCTCAGGTCCATCTGGTGGAATCTCCATGGCCTCCTTGCTCAAGAGGACAGGTGACTCACCACAGTTACAGGACATTTTGAAAGATGCTCATAGATCCTGGAACTTAGTTGACCTAGGAGGGCAATGAGCAGAAACTGTCCTTTATGTCCCCCTGACCAAATTAGTATAGGCCTCAAAGCATGGCTGTTAAACATCCAAGAAGGTTAGTTCCACCAATCTGGTACTTTTAATTAGCATATGCCATATAGATAGAGCTTGGGCAAAGACCAAACACTCTCAGATAAACCTTGCCTAGGCATATATTTCATTCTTTGATCTGGTTGAATGTATAATATATCAGTAGGTTGTTGGCCTAATATGGTTACCTCTGGTTTTCTAAAACTAGCTAGATATTATTTATCTCTCACTGTCTAATCCTTCCACAATGGTTTCTTCAATTAAGGTGCCACTGTTTTTCCCAGTTCTCCCTTAATAGTACCGTTGTCTTATGGTCCCACCTCTCTTGAGCTCCTTCTTTTCCTTTATCCCCTAGGTTCCTTGTATAACCTTCCCTCTCCCCTCCCCTTAAAATGACCCTGTTATTATCTGTATCTCCCTTGTTAACACCTGTTTTCTATGGTTCTTCTCTTTCAGATTCTTTCTTTTCCTTTACCTCCCTGGTTTCTTTTCATTATCCTGGTTCCTGTAGTTATGTCTGGATACATACAAGAATTTGGTGCTAGGATCTACATATGAGGAAGAATATACATTGTTTTCACATATGAGAGAGAACATATGCCGTTTTTGTTTTGTTTTGTTTTTTCTGAGTCTATGTTACTTCACGTAGTATAGCAGTTTCTAGTTCCATCCATTTACCTGCAAATTTCATGATTTCACCTTTCTTTACTGCTGAGTAAAATTACATCATATAAATGAACCACATTTTCATTATCCACTCGTCAACTGAGGGACACCTAGGTTGCTTCCATCTCGTAGCTATTCTGAAAAGAGCAGCAATC